CATATTGGGCCATGGGTCGAAAGATACCATAATATTACACAACATATAACCCATCTCTGGATCTCTAAGAACTTATTGTATCAAACACTGTCGAGTTGTGCCATGTAGGGCATGTCCCACTGAACCCCGGTCCATAGTTCCCCATAATAAACAAATATTTTCAGACCATCCCACGGCGAAATTCGGAAGGCACATCCACTCGCCAACGTTATGAATATTTTACAGTGGACTGAAGCTAAAAAAAAATATCATACCATGGCTTGTCACGTTGAAAATACTAAGGTAGAAAAAAGAAAAAACTGGAATAGTGAAATTTTAGTTTTAACCACCAAAACCAATTTCACCTCATAGCTTGCGTCGCTCTACCTGTCCGTTGTCCGTTTGCGGGGACGTTGTAACTCACCAAAGGGCGGATTGAAACATCGAACTGCGGACCGAATTCCGGATATAGTATCGGTGTGAGAGTTGATTTCTCACTGTGCCCCATGTCCCAACGTGCCCCACATTCCCCTACCGGTATCTAAATTCGCATAAACACTCTCAAAATTAGTGACAAAGAATAAAAATGTTTTGGTCGAAGGTCAAACGTCCATTTTTGTTATAATTCACCGTATTTGGTATTATTTCAAAAATGCTCAGCGGTATGGCGCATTGTGTTGAATGATAGGAATACCGTGAGAATAGTTATGGGCGAAAAGGTCGCCAGACTAGTCAGTTACGACTCTGTTTCAGGGTATTTCTTATACAATAATTTTAAACGGATGTACTGATAAGTACCGGTTTCTAAAGCGCACAAACACTCTCAAAATTAGTGACAAAGTATGGAAATAATGCCTGGGGTCAAAGGTCAAACGTCCATTTTGTTCTGATTTAACGAATTTTTTATCCCAAAATTCTACGTAAAAACACTCCCAAGGTTAATGACAAAGTATGTCTATTTTGCTCTGATTCAACGTATCTCTTATCCAATCATTTCACGCGGTTGTACTGAACAGTACCGGTAACCAAAGTCGCACAACTCTCAAAATTAATGACGAGTATAGAAATAATGTTTGGGGGTCAAAGGTCAAACGTCCATTTTTTGCTCTGATTCAAAGTATTTTTTCTATCAAATACAGGTAATATTACGCGGATGTATTGTATATGTATGTATGTTTATTCGTCTCGTAATAGTGATAAAAAATTTAATGAACGATTATTATTATGTAAGACGGGATGCATGCACAAGACTGTACTGGCCTAAAACACAAATGTGCGACATGCACCCTTTTTAACAAATATAAAACAAAAAACATTAGATTAAATATGTATAGTATGGTCCATTATATTTAGGACTTGCACGGGTCACGTGACCTTGTTTACTGGACGGCAATAAAACAAAAACGTCCAGTTGGCTCCTGTCAGTTGCAAGTCGGATTATACGTTTCCGTTTTGTTTGGCTGTTGAAAATGGTTATTTCGTTTTGTTCCGCTGGCTGTACGTATAGTATAGACCAGTGGTTCCCAAACTTTTTTGACCATCGCCCCCCTAAAGTAGTTTATACAACTTCATCGCCCCCCTGCACTACAAAAAATATAAGTCAGAAATGAATATATTACAGACCAAATAAGAAGACAAATCATAGTTTATAGTGTTTTTTAATGAACTTGGTGTTCTTCAGCGAGTTTTTTTATTATATCTAAAATTACCCCGTTTACTGATGTAAAGGTGATTTCGTTGTTTTAATAGCAATTGTAGCACGGCTGAAAACCCCTTTTTTACCATATAATATGTCGGAAATGGCAGAATCCAGGATTCTACCTCCTCAAAAACCGCCGTGTACTCTTGCCTTATAGCATTTCACTTCTTAAATTCACCCCATTTCACATTAAAATGATAAAAACAAAGGTAATTTTCCCAAAGTTATAATAATGATTTTCGTACATCTCATTCATTACTACAGCCTGATGACCTGCACCAAAATACTCGATACCCGATTCCTCATCCTACCACGGCCTCCAGTCTCCAGTTGTGTTTGGATTCATGGACTCGGATGTGGAAGAAGCTGTGACCGACTTTCGACTACGGCCCAGGGGTCGGCAAATTTTATGTCGCTTGCGAGACAAAATTTAGGGTTGCTAGTCTTTTTCGGGTCGCATATATTTTTTAAAAAGTAAAAACGGAACAGCGCGTGAAAATTGCGACAATTCGTGAACTCAACTTAATCATCTAATTAAAAAATTATTACAATGACCTTTAATGTGACACTGTCTTGTTGCTGCATCACGCTTAGTAGCTTTACGACGCCAAGATTGGAACATTTCTAAATGGGCTAATCCCAGTTTTTTGCTTGTTCTTTGTAATGTCCATTTTCGAAAATGATTGTTCGCACAAATATGTACTTCCGAGCATCTAAGTGAATATTCTCGCATGGTTTGTGAAATTTTAATAAAGATTTTCTTCAAGAAGGTACATTCTTACAAAAATTACGCAGTGATGAATCTCTCGAATAGAATATGAATTTTATTTCCGTATAGCATTGCAATATATTCGAATATTTACAGCGCTATTGAACCCTTGCCCTCAACATCAACTTTTTTTTCTTTGTGTTTCCATGTGTCCAATTAGAATTAAATTGTAGGCTCGTTAAACGAGTAGCTAGCTGTTCAATAGAATTTTCAGGATATAATAAAATTTAGTCTAAACGTGTCTCACGATAAATTCTGTTACGTGAGAAAATGTAATTTACTCCTCGAGCGTAGATTATAAATAAAATAAATTCATTGTCAAAACCGCCGTTTGGATGTTTACCCGGGCATAGACTTCCTTGTTTACATCGTGACATTGGCCAATCAGCAAAATGCAAAAATAAACGTAACAATACCTACCCCCTTTCGCATCCGTTCAGACACACTCACTCAGACAGACTTTCAGGCGTGGTCGTGAACATTTCTCATTTTCCCGTTTTTGGATTATAATCGTTAGTTTTTAGTTGTTTTCCGGAAATTTAAATATAAATCATATACGTCAATGATTACTTTGTCTTCTTATGAGTTTCAGTTTAAATACAGTAATCAAAAATTAGAGTAGAAATAGCTCCATTCAGTGAATCGTCCCGGGCCAGATTATTTTACTCAGGCCGTATTTTGCCGACCACTGGGATACGCAAACTACCGTACCTTACTGCGGAGACGAGTCCAGCAATCTTTTCGCGTGTGATAATCGACCACGAAATTCAAGCCTGTGGATGCATATAGAGTACAGAATTAGGTGCACTGTGCGCCGAGCAAAAACAGGTTTCGCGAAATCGCCCCCTTCGACTTTTTCGCCCCCCTCTGTATCGTTTTTGCCCACCGGGGGGCGATATCGCCCACTTTGGGAATCACTGGACTCTAACTTATGTAACAAACAAACTGCAGGTGCGGTAGATTCCAAACTGTTTACATCGAACGGCCATGATTGGGTTGCGCCTATATATCAGTTCGAATTTGTTTACATGAGCCCCTTAAAGTGAACAAATAATTTGATTGGCGTAGTCGTAAACAAATGCCAAATAGTGTGTTAGGTAAAACAGTGTCAGCAAAAGTAATAAATGAATTATAATGTCTTTATATGGAATTCTTCATCATAAATAAAATCCGACGTGGTGCTGTGCTTTAGTGTAGGAGGTGCAATGTAGTTTCACATAAAATGCTTGGTCATTTATCTTCCTTAGTTTTTTTGCGATGCAAGTACGTAAAATTGGAATGACAGCAAGTCTTCAGTCAGTCTTCATTATCCGAATCCTATTCCTTCCTTCTTAATCAAGCTTTTTCTTTTTCATCGGTTTTATCATATAAATACCACTGCAGTTGATCGACGCCTCGAACGAAATGAATTTACATTACAATGACAAAGTCGTCTATAACTTGGCAACAGGCTCAAAATCCCACTGTGCCTTCTCAAAATACTGGAAAAGATCTTAGCGGCCCATGCTTCATGCTTTTTTGCCCGTCTCGCGACCACCTGCAGGATCGCAACAAGTTCATATCTTACTGGAATACGTACTGTTCCTGACTGTTTTCTGGTTCAAACAAAGAAATATGCAAAACGTTTTATATGGATGGTCATATCAGAAAAAGCATGCACAACAGGAAAAGCACGCGTGCCGATTTGTAGGCTTCTGAATCTAGCGAGATTTGATGGAGCGTATTCGCGATGAATCAGATCCGGAAAAGAGAAAAATGTGATTACTCGGCGCCAAGATGTCGCAACATGACGACGGGAGAGAAATTGCGTAATAAACCAACACAACCTCATTTTCGGTAGAGCAATTGAGACGACATAAAAACAACAAAACGACGAAATTTCTTGCAGACCGGCAAAAAAGCTTCGCGGACCGGCGGTTGGGAACCGCTGCTTAGCACATGTTCATCGGCTTCATTTTGCATCCCTTGCAGATATTCCATTACATTTAGCGATTAAACATCACTAAGATTCATAATATCATAGGAATGGAGTTGCTAAATAATTGAACACCTCAGACAGTATATGAGTAAGCGGAATATGGCGTTAGGCCTCATGCTATAGTTGTATCAGAAATGTCTGGCTAACGATATAATGTGGAATACGCCCGATCAAGAAAGTTTAACAACATAGGCTCGATTAGTACTTGAATAATGAGTGACCAACTTGTAACATAGCGTGCCCAGTTAGGACTTTGGCGAGCAAGGGCAAGAACCACTGACAAGGGATAAATTTTGACAATATTGCATTACCGCGGTTGTCATGGTTACCCCGGCCTGGCCTGTCGTGTCTGGAGTCGTTCTCTTGCATTAACCAGAGTGAAACCGGAATACCGGGTTGCTTAATCTTAATGTGTCTCGAAGTTCGGCTTTTGTTAGTATTTGATGTCCGACTTTTTCCCATTATGATTTAAGGTTGAACTCACTCCCTCATAAGTGGCGCTGCTCGATATCCACCACTGGCTTATCGCGTCTCCCTTCACACTGAACCATTAAGTCCATGGATGTATATCAGAGATGTATGATGAGATATCTGCGAAGCAAAAATCAATGGAGGATAACCTTTCAAAATGCTGCAAAAGAATTCGTGAACTGGAAGATCTAGTTTACGAGCTTGAGGAGGAGTTATTTTATACAACTGATAAAGTCGAGGAGCAAGAAAGGCGCTCTAGACTCGACAACCTCGAATTTCATGATTTAGCTCCTACTCCTAATGAGGACACAGATAAACTGGTAATGGAGGTGGGGAAAATGATACATGTTGATATCAAGCCATCTGATATTTCTGTTACTCATCGTTTCCCATCACAGAACTCAAACATCCATAAACCTCTAATTGCAAAGTTCACCAACAGAAAGATCCGAAACAAGATACTTAAGAATCGTCATCTTATTAGAACTGCTCGCAATACTACATCCGTGTCTAACTTATCAAAAGCCTTCATTGTCGAAAACTTGACAGACAAAAATAGAAATCTATTTTACCAAGCCAAAATTCTAAAAAGACAATGTGGATACGCTTTTCTGTGGACATCCAGTGGAAGGGTTCTTGTGAAAAAAAATAAAGAAACTAACACCTCATCAATATCTAATGAAGATGATTTGCAAAAAATCAGATAAGTGGACTATCTACATTTTCGTTTATTGTATAATTCCTTTTTGTCCCATTTTGGCTTTTTTAGCAATTTTCCACTTAATGAATCTCATTCTAGTTATAAAATACCGGTCAACTATTATACATTTCATAGTTTATAACTTATATTCCCTGAAGAGTTCCACCTTTACTCAATCCAATATTTTCTATGCATGATATAGCTAGTTCCCCCAATATAAATTGGAAATCAGACATTTTTAACCCTTTCATCGACTCAACACTGACTCAATACCTCGAATTAACAGATATCAATGAGGTATCATCAAGGATCCCACCATCTGACCTTATTCTAGTGCATCATAGCATCAGATCACTTCCTAAATATGTTGATGGTTTAATTGATTTGTATTCAAAGTTCTATTCTCCTTCCCATATAATTGCTTTGACCGAGACCAGGATCAAAAGTGAGGTAGCGTTTTATAATGTCGACATCCCGGGTTATGCCTTTATCCATGTACCCTCTCCAACTCAGGCGGGCGGTGTGGGATTTTACTTAAAAACAATTTGGATTACCAGATTATCTGCGATTTTAAATTATCCATTTCTTCCTGTGAGGATATGTGGGTAGAAATCCATTGTTCTAATTTCAACTTAAACTTCCAAAGCATCATCATTGGTGTTATTTATAACCATCCAAAAAATAACGTACTTGCTTTTACTGGTGCAATGGATCGCGTACTCGAGAAACTGACAATGGCAAAAAAAAACTTTTTCATATTAGGTGATTTCAATATTAACCTTCTTGACACTCATGATAATGCCACTGCCAAATATTTTGATATGCTCATGTCATATCATGCATTCCCAGTAATTACGAAACCCACTAGAGTGACCTCCTCCCACACCCTTATAGACCATATATACACAAATACCGTGAACTATTGTTCGTCATCATTTATTCTACTTAGTGACCTTACTGACCACTTTCCGGTCATGTGTACAATTTCAGGTATTGATTTAATCACAAAAACAAAGATTCGTATGAAGCGCGATATGACAAAATTCTGTAGCGAAATATTCAGAGCCGAAGTTGAGTCAATGTGTAACAACTATACAACCGTTTATCTTTGTAAAGAAAATTTTAATAGCTGTTTTGAAACTTTTCTTGGCCATCTGAAATGCTTAATCAACAAACATGCCCCATTACGACCCTTATCACGCAAAGAAAACAAACTTTCTTATAAACCTTGGATCCCCAGGGGAATTCGTAAGTCCATTAAACACAAAAATATTATGCTTAAAAAAAAGTTTCATTAACCAGGGTGAAACCGGAATACCGGGTTGCTTAATCTTAAAAAGGGTAATGCAGTCCAACGTAGCTACTGCAAAAAGTATAAAAATATGTTAACACATTTGCTGAGGAGATCTAAGCAGATGTACTACCATAGTGTCCTCGAAAGCAATCGAGGTGATATTAAACGCACATGGCAAACCATTAACGACATTATTAAGATCAAGTCCATAGATAATACATCCATCTCAGAATTGGAACTCGAAAACGGTACTTCAGTGACCGACCCAGTTACGATTGCTAGTGTTTTTAATAAATACTTCTCGAAAATCGGAAAGAATCTTGCAGATAAAATCCCACATATCTCAAAATCATTCGCCGACTTCTTGGGTGCTCCAATGCAAAACTTCTTTTTTCTCGAACCCACTTCTTCCACGGAGATTATCCAAATAATTTTAAATCTGAAAAAGAGTAAAGCAGTTAGGCCCGATGGTGTTCCATCCCACTTTCTAGGAACAGTTGCCGATATAATATCACCTACACTAACCCACTTTTTTAATTCAGCCTTTACATTAGGCATTTTCCCTTCTTCTTTAAAGATTGCTAGAGTGGTTCCCATATTTAAAAGTGGTAAAAACAATGATCCATCAAATTACAGGCCCATTTCCATTCTACCCTCCATAGGTATAATCTTAGAAAAATTATTATATAAGAGAATCCTTAAATTTTGTACAAATTTCAACCTAATTAACAAATGTCAATTTGGCTTTCAAACTAATACTTCCACCAGTCACGCTATTCTTGATTTAACCTCTTTCATTTTCGATAAACTGGACAAAGGAGAATTTGTCTGTTGTATCTTTCTCGATTTGAAGAAAGCTTTTGATACCGTCACTCATAGAATTCTATCCCATAAGCTTAGACATTATGGTTTCCGAAGTGCTGCAGGCAATCTATTATTTAATTACCTGTCCGGTCGTTCACAATTTATGGAGGTGGATTCTCACAGGTCTCCAGTGTTCCCCATCTATTGCGGAATTCCTCAAGGTAGTGTACTAGGACCACTTGGATTCTTGATTGCAATTAATGACTTCTCTAACAGTTCAAATTTTCTGACCAAACTCTTTGCCGACGATGCGTGCCTGCTTCACAGTGCAAAAGACTTAACTTCGCTCCAAACCAAAGTGAACACTGAAATAAACAAAGTTCATGATTGGATGATTTGTAAAAAGGTTCACAGTTCACTGTTGATAAATCGAAGGTGATGATATTCTGTCCCAAAACTCGCACTAGACTTGCCAACTTTACAGTTAAAATTAATGGTATTTCGCTTGAAGTTGTCCCTTCTCATAAATATCTCGGACTCCATATTGACAGTCATCTAAAATGGAACACTCATATCACTGAAATCCATAAGAAACTGTCAAGATCTGTGGGAATTCTGAGCAAGCTTCGGCATTACGTCCATGATATAAACCTGCGAACCGTATATTTTGCCATATTCCAGTCACACATCCAATATGTCATAGCTGCATGGGGCTCTGCAACCCAGACAAATTTGCGTAAATTAGAGGTTCTCCAGAATAGGGCCGTTAGAGTTTTCTCTAGGGCGCCTTTTCGTTCTAACATAAACACCCTATACCATAAGACCAAGGTGTTAAAACTAACCGACATCCACAAACTAGAAATCTCTAAAGTAATGCATCTATTTCACAACCACCAGTTGCCTGCAGCTTTTGACGATTATTTTGTTAATCTTAGTAACGCACATGAACATAATACGCGCTCTTCGACAAGATCCAATTTATTTGTACCCCGCTTTTCAACGGGCAAAACTCAGAACTCCCTGAAATATAAAGGCGTTATAACCTGGAATAGTATTCCCAATGGTTCACGTGACTCCACCTATGCCACATTCAAAGTAAAGTATAAAAAATTCTTACCCGTCTCCTGCCAGCACCTTGATGTGCTATCAGCATTTGCCTTGTTAGCTCAATACTTGTTCAGATCCACAGCCTATAAAAGTGTCCCCCAGAACCTGGAACAAGGCTGTTGTGAAGGATTCGATTTTAGTGATTCTCTTCCATAATCCCCACAGTTTTGCCCTTCGCTGTATATGCAAAAATGTACCCAGTAATTGATTACCTCACTGAACCTTGAAGGGTGAGATTATGCCTACCTAAGGATATATTCGAATAATTCGTGGGTCATATTTTGTTCTGGTTTCTATGATAAGCGTCTTTTTGATTTAGTGATCCTACTCTCTGAATTAATATTGATTTATTTATATCAATTGTTATTTGGTTCTTAAACTAGTGTCTCTATATTTTATATTCTAATTGTGTTGTCTGGTATTTTCAACTTTTTTCATTTCTTAGTTCACAACATAGAATTGAATGATGTATTTACCTGTTAATTTTCCGGCCTCAAAAGCAATATTCTTGTAGGGTTCCACGACGCTGACTGTGGTCAGACTGCTGTTATGTTACTATACTGTTGCCCATGGTTACCCTGGTTGTGCCTGGAGTCTCTTTTTTTGTTACGGTTTTGGATCTTCTTGGACATTCTTTCCTTCACTGCTTAAATGTATTCGATTTATTCTATTCTACTTGTATCAAAGTTAGACATTTATCACAGGTGTCGCTGCTAGATAACCAACATTGTTTTTTTCGCGTCACCCTTCACCATGAAATGCCTTTATTTATGTTTTCTCTAATTTTTGTTCGCATTACGTGTATGTTTCATTTTGGTGAAAAATAAACGACTGACAGACTGACTGATATCGGTATAACGCTTCATAAGCATGCCACTGCATAAGCAGCAGTCATAAACTTATGGAAGCTTCGGTACTAGCTGCGCCATCGCCCGACACAGACCTCCACCCCGGGGTTCGGTATATGCTGTATGTCAGAGCATAGCTTTCTCCCGGGGCTTCCGTCCATGCCATGCGCGGCACAGCAGGGCTTCCGCCACCCCGGCTTCCATACATACTATGTGTAACACACGACGCAGATATCCACCGTGATATCCTCCCGCTGTATCACAACTGTTTTTTTTTTTTTGGCGGATCAGAAGTTTTCCAGACTCGGATCAGTGTCTTGAAGACACGTCATATCCGAATTTTATCGGTCAATCGCTTCATAAGCATGCCACTGCATGCAGTAGTCATACACTTCCGGGGGCCTCAGTATGCGCCGCGCATCAGCAAAGCACAGATTTCCACCACAGGCTTCTACGTATGCAATACATACGCTTCAACCTGGGGCTTCCGTCCATGCCATGCAGAGCAGGGCACAACTTCGGCCACCCCGGCTTCCGTACATACCACGTATAACGCAGCATGACATCCACCGAGAAGCTCCCGATTCTTTTTTTTTTTTTTAACTCCTCTTTTTTTTTATCGGATCAGAGTACGGATGTGAAATCGGATCGATATTATATCAATACGTCATGTCCGAGTTGTAACGGTAATACGCTTCATAAACATATCGCTGCATATGCAGCAATCATACGTATGTCAGGGGGTTGTGAACATAGCATAATTGCCGCCCCCGAAGCTTCCGTTCCATCATTTCCGACGGGGCGGTAGATGGTATTGACTTATCTAAGCTACTATTTATGGGTAGCGGGGTATGACCTTGGGTTAATGTTACGTATATTAGCCTCGCTCATATCCGTTTAAGATTATCTTCCAGTTTGGGACTATTCCTAACAACCGAGTATCTCCGTATTTATTTTCTATAGTGCTCAGGAATTCTTTGTACATTTTGATTGTGGCTGTTGTTATGCCAATATCCAAAGGGCCAATATATCGGTTTTCGATATCTAATTTTATTTTCAGTTTTATTGTTTCCCGTTTCATAATAGCGAAGAGTTTGTTTGTCGCTATAAGTTGTGGTCCCGAGTGGCTATTATAGTAAATATTTTTGTTTGTAGTTTTTATCTTTTGCTGGCTGATTGCGTTCAAACAAGTTTGTAAATATTGGATGTGCTCGGTTATTTTTGAGCAGTGGAGGAAAATATGTTCAGTAGAGTCCGAATTCGCTTTACAAAATTTACAATTTAGGATCCTAATTTTTCCGAATTGATCATGGCGGAGTGAGGTGCCTCTGCGACGGTTTCCGAAAAAGTATCCATTTTGGACTATTCTGTAGCTACAGACTCTTTCTGCATTGGAGATGTAGTTTTTAAGGTAGCGCTGTTTTAAATTTACTTCTTCCCAATTTATTTCCGTTTTTGTTAGGTCATGCTTTTTAAGAATCTGATATATATCCCTGAGCTTCATAGTTTTCCAATCATTTAATGTTTGATCAATTTGTTTAAATAGGATTACAAGCGTTTCCCAGTGCCATGGTATGACAAGGCTGTGCGGCATAGAATTTGTATATGCTTCCGGATTTATTATGCGTATCTGTGATCCGATCGAGTAGAGAGCCTCGAAATGCCAGAACTGGCTAGGTGTCTCCATTTTCACAAGTTCCCGCATTTTTTCCACTTGGCATGCGTTGATTCTTGCTTTGACGTCTATGGTGTTAAAACCCCCGACCTTTTTTCCTCTTTGTAGAGTTGTCCTAGCGATTGCTTCAATTTTTTCTGGGTGCCAAAAGAACTTATAGATTAGACGCTGTATTTGTTGTATTTTACTTGGTGGGACTTCAATAACGCGAGCATGGAAAATTATTAATGATACTAGCAGGGCATTTATTACGTTGAGTTTGCCATACCACGTGAGATGTCGTGATTTGACAAAATTCAGGGTTTTGGTGAGTTTGATGATGCTATCATTCCAGGTTTTCCGTATTTGGTCTATTCCGAAGTAAATGCCTAGGATTTTTACGGTGTCCTTCATATATATTCTGTATGGTGAATTGAGAAGTTTTTGTCTCGCGTCCCTAGTTATACATAAAATTTCGGTTTTATTCATGTTAATGTTTTGTCCCGTGGCCAATTCAAAATGTTTTAGTTCCTCGAAAATAGCGGGAATTGAAGATGGTTTCTGCACTGCAAAGGTAATGTCGTCCGCGTATTGATCTAGTTTGTGTTCATACATTCCTAATCTGATACCGCATATCTGTTGGTTATGTTTAATCGCTCTGGCAAGCGGTTCCGAGTTTATGGTATACAGGATCATGCTGAGCGGGCACCCTTGCCTTATTCCTCTGTGGATTTGGATTTCCTTACTAGGTTTCCCATTTACGTCTACTATACTTGTGATATTTGAATAGATATTTTTGATTAGTTTGAGGGTTCTTTTTCCAAGCTCTACTTTTTCCAATACTTTGATGAGAAACCGATGGTTTACTCGGTCAAAGGCCTTGAGGTTATCTATCATGATTAAGGTTCCAGGAATGTTTTTTTTGGTACAGTATCTCACTATAGAGTTTATGTTAAAATGTACATCTGTCATATTTCTGTTAGGTAGTGTACTTTTTTGGGAGGGGCTAATTATTCTACTAAAAACTAGTTCGAGTCTTTTTGTTAAAATTTTTGTTACTATTTTATAGTCCATATTCAAATTAGAGATAGGGCGCCAATTTTTCAAGTCTGTTTCTTTTCCTTTCTTGTATAGGAGTTTAACTCTGGATAGAGAAGATGATTTAGGGAGTTGTCCAAATGTGAAGATGTTGTTTACCAGTTGCGTGAATTGTTTTTTGATTATTGGCCAAAACGTCAAATAAAATTCTTTACTAAAACCATCTGGTCCAGGGGATTTGTTGTTACTCATGGATTTGATTGTGTTAAGGATTTCCTCTTCTCCCACATTAGCCTCTAAATTATTGTTCTCCGCTTCATCTATTTGGGTTGTTGCCATCAGGTTGAGGTAGAGATTTTGTTCTTGTTCATTTGTTTTATCGGGGAATCCCCACAATTCGGAGTAAAATTTCTCGATTTCAGTGATGACTTGTTCTTTCTCCTTCACTATTTGACCATCCTCTAATTCAATCTCTGTTATTGTCGTCTCTTTTGCCCTTTTCTTTATCCTGTTGTAAAAGGTTTTAGTTGGCTTCTCGCCTTGTTCCAGATTCTCCATATTCGCCAGCATGACGTCTCTTTGTTTTTGCTTTTCTAGATATATTTTCAAATTTCTTGTTAAATGGTCTATTTTAATAACGTTATGGCTGCCCCCTTCATTAATTACTTGGTCCAAACATTTGCGCATTTGTCCTATAATTGTTTTGTTATGTTTAGCTTTATATATTGCGTAGGTCATTGACTGTTTTTTGATGTTTGTTTTGGTTTTGTCCCACCAGTCCTGTATGTTGTCGAAGTTTTCTATGTATGTTAAGGAATCTTTATAAGTTATTTCTATAAGTTCTATGTACGTTCTGTCAGTATATAAAGTCAAATTGTTTTTCCAGAAACCTCTGCCCCATCTCACTTTATCAAGAGTTTTCAAAGTTATCATCGGGCATAAAATATGGTCTGCAACATAGTTTGGTATGTGCTCTATACCCCTGATTAGGTGGTCAAGGTCCCTCGAGTGGTAGAATCTATCCAGTCTCCGACTCTGCCATCGGCATTTGTAGGTAAAGATTATTCTATCTGGGTATCTGGTTCGGAAGGTATCTGAGATGTTATTTGTATCAATAAACGTACTAAATATTCTTTCCGGTGGTCCAAAGTTAAAATTTGTGGCGTCTAGAACATCTTTTTTGCTCAATACTATGTTATAATCTCCAGCGATCAGTATGGAGAAGTTTTCAGAGTATGGTTTTAAAATTTCTGTGAGTGTTTGATAAAAGTTAGTTTTAGGTAGGCCGTTTTTTGCGGGAGCGTAAATGTTAAAAAGTTTAATTGCATCGTCGCCGATCTTTATCTCAATACTATGACATCTGTGTTCGATATGTACTATATGAGAGTTATTGTTCGTTACAATCCCCTCTTCTATCATAAACGCTGTTCCTTGTCTGTATCCTATTTGTTTTTTGCCATTTTCTAACGCATTCAAATATATTGAGTATCCCAAATTGGATGCCCAGTGTTCCAAGAGCTTTCCGTTAACGCGATGTACTTCTTGTATGCACAATATACCTGGTTTCTCATTTTTAATAAACGTCTCCACATCCTTTGAGTGGTAGTGAATGCCATTTGTGTTGAGTGATATTATTCGTATATCTCCCATTTTTATTTGTTTTTGCTGCCGGAATATCTAACAATTAGGAAACCACTGAATTAAGCGTTGTCAAATAACGAAACGTAATGTGTAGTCATAAGAAAAAAAAACGTAAAATGAAACTCACATTTCGTGGTTTGCCACCGTCCACTTTACCTTTGTAATCCGTTATCCCTGCCGTTTCTTGTTAGGCGTTTCTATCGAGGCGTTAGTTGAAGTCGAAGATGTTGCGATTTCGTTTCTTTCTCTTTTCTTTTTTGTGGCTTGGCTATATTCTTCGCTTTCTAAGTACGCTGGTGCAGAACAGGCTTCCATTAAATCCGAGTATATTGATGAGGATGATAAGTCTCTGGTTTCGTAGTCATGTACTAATACTTTAACTTGCGTTTTTCCCAGATTAGGCAAACGGTATGGTGTGGTCGAGATTTCCTTCTTTTTAGATGTTTTGTCGTTGTTTATGATCGGTGACTGTGGTGATAGGTGCGGCGATGACAAATCAGGGTCCTCCGATAATGACCAGTCTTTTATTTCCTTCCCTATATCAATGTTTTCATTTCTCTTTTCTTTAACTTCAAGCGGTTTGTTTGAATCATCTCCAAGCGACTGTATTTCGTCTCTCGTCGTTTCGGAAGTTTTTGGTGACAATAGGATTCCGGCATCCAGTTTGGTATTTATGTTTGGTCGTTTCTGTGTATTATCGTTGGTAGTTATTGTTTTCCGGGAGGGCAGGTGCCACGAAGTTTGCAGGTTTTTTCTTTGCCGTTCGTTCCATTCGGGACATTCCCGTTTGATGTGCCCCTCCTCTTTGCAATAGCGACATACTGGTGGGCTGTCGCAATGCATGAAATTGTGACATTTTTTGAGGCATCTGCCGCATGTCGGGATGTATAAATCTTTAGGTAGATAGGTTTTACACCGTATTCCGTCGATTGTTACAAAGTCCGGAAGTTTGTCTTTCTCGAAATCTTCAATAATGAAAGTTGTATAGCCATTATAAATGGTAGTGCCTCTGTGCCAGTTCTTGGTTGCGCTCTTCAATTTTCCACAGTTTAATTTGTTAATTACCTCGGCAGCCCTAATGAACGGCGTCTCGTCTGGTATTCCCTTAATAGATATGCGGACGGGCGTTCCCGATGGTAACGTAAACAAAAGCCTTCCATGGGGTGAATCTATAATTCCTTCGGTAGACAATAGGAATGCCTCTCTACAACTTGAAATTTGCGAATCCGATCCGGGCTTGAATGATAGCATCCATAATCCTTTTTTAGTTTCGAAAAGTCCGTTAATCTGCTTACAAAAGTCTTTGGTTTGTGGAGCTAGATTTAGGGTGTCCCATAAAGAGTTGAACTCCGCGTCGCCTTCTACTTCAACAATTAGAGATCGTGGTCTACTATTTCCAATTGGTATTCCACTGGAGCTTGTTGTTGCAGCGATCTTTGAATATGACATATTAATTCCAATGTGTAAGTATTTTTATTCCAAAAAACACAACTAGCGGCTGTCTAATAATGTCCTTTATTCAGCACCTCTAGTTGCCTCAACATCATAACACAACGCTTAATCGGGCCTGGCGCTTAAAAAATAGCGACGTCTACACTTCAGGGTTTCCCAATCCTTTCAACTGCACTCGCGTGCAGATACACACTATAGAAATGATCCCTAAAAGAAGCTCCCGATTCATCATTTCCGCTGTATCGGATGGTATTATCGGGGTTAAAAACAATGTTCGTCGAGCAGTTTTGAATTTTGGTTTGGTCTACCATTTATGGTGGCTGATTAAAAGTTTCCAAGTTTTATTTTGCTAGACCGTCAGATAGCCGTTTAGTATTTCCTTCCAGTTACTCCTTAGTCCTAAAGGTTGCACGTCATTGAATTTATGTTCTATCATTATGAAGAAATCCATGATTTGGGTTACAGTTATGGGTATGATGTTATTGTCCGTGGGGGCCAGATATCGATCCAGGGTGTCTAGTTGTAGTTTTAATTTAATTACGTTCTTTTTCAGTAAAACAAAGGCTTTGGTCACAGCAATTTGAAATGGGCCATTGTATCCATTGTAAAGATTCTGTTCTTTATTTATTATAATTTGGGTGTCCAGTATGGCATTGAGGCAATTCAATATTCTGTAATATAGTTACCTGTTGTTTTACAATTGAGAAAGATGTGCTTAGTGTTGTCCGATTTGTCCTTGCAAAACTTACAGTTTAGAATTTTCAGCTTGCCCGATGGGTGGAAACGGATGTTCATCCCCCGCTTCTTGTCCCCAAAGATGTAGCCATCACGGGCGATTCGATAAGACGAGACCCGTTCCGCGTTGGAAAATTTCAAGCGGAGGTTGTTAGTTAAAAGGTGTATGTCGGTCCAGTTGATAAGTTGTTGTTGTTGTTGCTGTACCAGGTTATGATTTTTAAGTTTCAGGTATATATTTTTTTTTTTTTTTTTTTTTTAATATTCTTTTGTCTTTTTACGGATCAGAACGACAAGTCTGGAATCCAGCCCAAATGCCTTCATACCCAGACTATGCCGACGGAAGTTTATGGATCAATTCTCTTTGTAATAGAGATCACCATTTTGTATACCACGTAGAGTGATGGGCTTCCTGTCATCACATCCGCTATATGTGAGATGGTATTTACTGAGTTGAGGTTTTACGCCGGCAACTGGGCGTTTTATATACAAGAGGTTTGAGAAGCCGAATTGAAATATGGCATGTCCAAAGAACCGAAATGAGAGACATCAGGGGAATTTGATTACCTGGGGCCGAAACATGGTAGTTACCTTTTCTTTTTACCGTATTTTTTTTTTGACGATTGATTCGGATGTTGAGGATTCTGTGGAAGTTGTTGTGTCCTTTCTGGTTCTTTTGTTATTTTCCTCTGTAAGATCCACAATTGGCGGCGGTAGATTCGACTCAAGGTTCGCTGGTGCAGATGTCGCTGCTTCCGGTGTTGTTTCGAAGACCGACGAAGACGTGGTGTCGCAAGACTCAAAGTTATCAATCCTTACTTTGATGTAAGGATTGCCCTTTGGAAGGGGATGGAATGGCGTGTTTCCAATAGTTGACGACTCCTTCAATCTGTAGATTTGCCTGGGTGGTCTTGGCAATTGTGGAGATGGAGTTTTGAGTGGACTTACTACAGTCCCGACGTCCTCACATTCAGACCAGTTTTTAATTTCTCTTAGGCAGGTTAACTCCGAGTCGGAGGTAGAAAAATCACCTACCTTGTCGGTTGTTTCAGCAGGTTGTGCATCATTCTGGCTCTGCTCTGTTGTTTCGGCAGGTTGCTCGTCATTCTGGCTCTGCTCTGATGTTTCAGCAGGTTGCACGCTATTCTGACGTTGTTGTTGCGTATCTTTTCGCAGGGGTTTTCTTTTCTGCGGAGGCATGTTCCATCCTGTCACGGGGTTGGTGATGACTGGATCACGCTTCCGTTTTTGACATTCTCTTAGTAAGTGACCCGGTGTTTTACAATACTTACAGACGGCTTCGTTCTTACATTCACTGTATATATGGCCAGTGGTGAGGCACTTCCCACACGTCGGAGTGTATAACTCTCGTGGGAGGAAGGTCTTGCAGCTTTCACCATTGATAACCACGTATTCCGGCAGACGGTCTTTTTTAAAACCGTCCATTAGGAATGACGTGTGCCCGTTGTAGACGTCGGTCCCTCGATACCAATTTTGGACTGCATTTCGTACCGTTCCACAGCCCAGCTTGTTGATCTTGATCACCGCCATGTTGTATGGAGTTTCCGCCGGAATTCCCCGTATGGAGATCCGGACAGGAGCTTCACTTGGTAGTGTCACAGTGATGTTACTCTTAGCCGTTTGTATCAGGCCACCTGTAGAAGAAAGAAAACTCTCTCTGCAGCTAGAATTCGGGCTGTCCGTTGGCGCAAAGGTGAGGATCCAGATCCCTCTGCGGCCTTCGAACAGCCCTTTCACCTGATCGCAGAACCTACTTGTTGTGGTGTTGTTCCGGAGGACGTCCATCATCTTCGGGAAATCCATGTCTTCGTCGGTCTTCAGGAAGAGCGTCCGAGGTCGAGATGGTGCAGCAGCGGAAACTTCTTCTGTGGCTGGAGTGGAGGATGCGGCGGCGGCGTAGCTCATCGTCTTTGTCTTTCGTTTTCTTCGTCCTTCTTCGCTATCGAGGGCCTAACCCAGTGAAGGGTTGCCTTAATCAAATAGCGGTGTGAGTCTTTTTATTAAAATTTTAGAAATAATTTTATAGTCCATATTGAGGGTCGTGATGGTCTCCAGTTTTTAAGGTTTGATTGGTCATTTTTTTTATATAATAATTTTACTTTTGCAATTTTGGAAGATTTTGGAAAGTGGCCGAAACTAAAAATGTTATTAATGAGCTGTGTAAATTGGCGTTTGATTAAGTCCCAGAAAGTAACATAAAACTCCTTTAATAATCCATCCATACCGGGTGATGATGTTTCAGGTATATATTTTTGTGTTTGGCCGAATCCCATGTATCTCTTGAAAAATTCAGGTTATTATATATGGAGAAAATGTATGCCCAATATTGTGGTATTATCATACTGTGAGGCATAGAGTTATCGTATAGATCTTTGTTAATAAGTTTCATTTTCGATCCTAGAGAATAGAGGCATTCATAATGCCAAAATTGGTTTGGGATTTGACCGGTAGCAAAACACTTCATCTTTTCGACCTGGCAAGCTTCCACTTTCGACTTTACGTCCACCATTGCTATTCCGCCATCCGCCCATGGTTGTTTTAAGGTTCTTCTTCCTATGGCTTCTATCCTCTCAGGATACCATAGGTATTTGAATACCTCACTCTCCGCACGTCTCATGGTTTTCAAAGAGATTGTTTTGACTCTTGCGTGGAACGTAATTATGGACATTATCAGCGAGTTTATAGCAATTTGTTTGCCATGCCAAGTTAAAAGTCTAGGTTTTAAAGAGTTTAGGGTCCGAATTAATAAAGTTATGATTTTGTCCCACATTTTTACTGGTTTCCTATGTCCAAATTGTATGCCCAAAATTTTGACGTTTTCTTTTATATATTGGCTATACGGAGATTTTGCGATTAGGTTATGTGCCGAATTGGTGATACAGAGTATTTCAGTTTTGTCCTGGTTAATTTTTTGTCCTGAGGCCAAATGAAATTTGTCGAGTTCCCGAAATATTTCCTGTATTGAGGTCTGGTCTCTTACAGCAAAGGTGATATCGTCGGCATACTGATCTAATTTGTGCTCATGACGGCCTAATTTTATTCCATGGATGTTTGTATTTCGAAGCACAGATCTTGCAAAGGGCTCAACAACGATAGCGTAGAGCAACATACTCAGGGGACAGCCCTGTTTTATGCCGCTGCAGATGGTAATTTTTCTCGTCAGCCGACCATTAACGTCAATGCGACTTTTTATATTCGAGTACATACTTTGGATGATGTTAAGAGTCTTGCGACCAAGTCTAATGTGTTGCAAGACATTGAATAGGAATTGATGGTCAACCTTATCGAAGGCTTTCAGGTTGTCAATTAATATTATTGTTCCGCGGGTGTTCTTTGTTTTGCAGTGCCGAATTATTGCATCTATATTATAGTGAATGTCATACATGCTTCTGTTAGGAAGAGAGCATTTTTGGGTCGGGGTGATTATGCGGTCCATGATGGGTGTGAGTCTTTTTATTAAAATTTTAGAAATAATTTTATAGTCCATATTGAGGGTCGTGATGGTCTCCAGTTTTTAAGGTTTGATTGGTCATTTTTTTTATATAATAATTTTACTTTTGCAATTTTGGAAGATTTTGGAAAGTGGCCGAAACTAAAAATGTTATTAATGAGCTGTGTAAATTGGCGTTTGATTAAGTCCCAGAAAGTAACATAAAACTCCTTTGATAATCCATCCATACCGGGTGATTTGTTGTTTCTCAAAGAGTTAACGGCCTCAAAAACTTCCTCGCTGGAGACATATTGTTCAAGAATGGTATTTTCATCCGCTGAAATTTGAGTGGGTCTCATCATTGATAGGTAATCAGGGATGGCCATTTCCGAATACCAAACTATTCCGAATACATTCTAAAATAATGTTTTCGAATCTGGAATTCCGAATACATTCTAAAATCGAAAATAACACATTTTTGTTTTAGTTGATTAAAACCCAGTAAATTAGGAAATAAGCTTAAATAGAAATATCAGAATGAAGCCACAGACCAACAGTATATGTACACAAAGTAATTAATAGTTTATAGCTATTAATAAAAAATAATAGCAACTTGTGACACAGTCAGTTTAAAAAAATTATTCACTTTGTACAAATGACCATATGAAAAGATAGCCAAGAAGTTGTCTAACGCTTTCTATCATTGGTACCATGATATTACGATAATAGTCGAGTCTATTGACAAAAATACTAATTGTATTCAGATAATTGTGTATATTTTCTAAGAGTAATAAAATTTATTGGCAACAACAATCGAAAATCCATTGTGCCTTTGAAAATTCTAAT